GGGGGGGGAGTTCCCGAGGACATTCCACAAATATACGTAGGGAGGGAGGTTTAGAAACTCCATGATATTACAATGAGTAAAACATGGCACCAATCAATCAACAAGAGAGTTTTCCAGTTTTACAATATAGTTATTCTTGGTCAAATTCAGTAAAAGTCACTTTTTAAAGGGAGAACCGAGTTGAAAATGTATATTACGAAGGAAAAATTCAGTTAGACCACATCATCACACAACGGGACAACAGGGAACGAGTTTCAATCAGCAAACAACAACAAACAACGGGACTACAGCGAACGAGTTTCAATCTGCCAACGACATCATACAACGGGACTACAGGAAACGAGTTTCAATCTGCCAACGACATCATACAACGGGACTACAGGAAACGAGTTTCAATCAGCCAACGACATAATACAATCATCACACAACGGGACAACAGGGAACGAGTTTCAATCAGCCAACGACATCATACAACGGGACTACAGGAAACGAGTTTCAATCAGCCAACGACACCAAACAACGGAACTACAGGGAACGAGTTTCATTCAGCAAACGACATCAAACAACTTGACTAAAAGGAACGAGTTTCAATCAGCCAACGACACCAAACAACGGAACTACAGGAAACGAGTTTCATTCAGCAAACGACATCATACAACGGGACTACAGGGAACGAGTTTCAATCTGCCAACGACACCAAACAACGGAACTACAGGGAACGAGTTTCATTCAGCAAACGACATCAAACAACTTGACTAAAAGGAACGAGTTTCAATCTGCCAACGACACCAAACAACGGAACTACAGGAAACGAGTTTCATTCAGCAAACGACATCATACAACGGGACTACAGGGAACGAGTTTCAATCAGCCAACGACACCAAACAACGGAACTACAGGGAACGAGTTTCATTCAGCAAACGACATCAAACAACTTGACTAAAAGGAACGAGTTTCAATCTGCCAACGACACCAAACAACGGAACTACAGGGAACGAGTTTCATTCAGCAAACGACATCAAACAACTTGACTAAAAGGAACGAGTTTCAATCAGCCAACGACACCAAACAACGGAACTACAGGAAACGACTTTCAATCTGCCAACGACATCATACAACGGAACTACAGGAACGGCTTTCAATCTGCCAACGACACCAAACAACGGGACTACAGGAAACGAGTTTCAATCAGCCAACGACGCCAAACAACGGAACTACAGGGAACGAATTTCATTCAGCAAACGACATCAAACAACGGGACTATAGGGAACGAGGAACTACAGGAACGGCTTTCACGCTGCCAACGACACCAAACAACAGAACTACAGGAATACAACGGGACTACAGGGAAAGAGTTTCAATATGCCAACGACATCAAACAACGGGACTATAGGGAACGAGGAACTACAGGAACGGCTTTCACGCTGCCAACGACACCAAACAACAGAACTACAGGAATACAACGGGACTACAGGGAACGAGATTTAATCGGCCAACGACATAACAACGGGACTACAGGGAACGAGTTCCAATCAGCCAACGACACCAAACAGCGGAACTACAGGAAACTAGTTTCATTCAGCAAACGACATCAAACAACGGCACTACAGGGAACGAGTTTCAATTAGCCAACGACACCAAACAACGGGACTGCAGGGAACGAGTTTCAATCAGCCAGCGACACCAAACAACGGAACTACAGGAAACGAGTTTCATTCAGCAAACGACATCGAACAACGGGACTACAGGGAACGAGATTTAATCGGCCAACGACATAACAACGGGACTACAGGGAACCAGTTTCAATCAGCCAACGACATAATACAATCATCACACAACGGGACAACAGGGAACGAGTTTCAATCAGAAAACAACAATAAACAACGGGACTACAGGGAACCAGTTTCAATCAGCCAACGACACCAAACAGCGGAACTACAGGAAACTAGTTTCATTCAGCAAACGACATCAAACAACTTGACAAAAAGGAACGAGTTTCAATCAGCCACCGACACCAAACAACGGAACTACAGGGAACGAATTTCATTCAGCAAACGACATCGAACAACGGGACTACAGGGAACGAGATTTAAACTGCCAACAACAACAAACAACGGGACTACAGCGAACGAGTTTCAATCTGCCAAATACATCAAACAACGGGACTACAGGAAACGAGTTTCAATCAGCCAACGACGCCAAACAACGGAACTACAGGGAACGAATTTCATTCAGCAAACGACATCAAACAGCGGGACTACAGGGAACGAGTTCCAATCAGCCAACGACACCAAACAACGGATCTACAGGAAACGACTTTCAATCAGCAAACGACATCACACAACGGGACTAAAGTGTATGACATTCAATAATATCAAAGACAGAAGAATACCCGATATACGTTGTAAGTATTATACAGGGAACGAGTTTCAATCAACCAACGACATCATACAACGGAACTACAGGGAACGAATTTCATTCAGCAAACGACATCAAACAACGGGACTATAGGGAACGAGGAACTACAGGAACGGCTTTCACGCTGCCAACGACACCAAACAACAGAACTACAGGAATACAACGGGACTACAGGGAAAGAGTTTCAATATGCCAACGACATCAAACAACGGGACTACAGGAAAAGAGATTCAATCAGCAAACGACATCATACAACGGAACTACAGGATCGGCTTTCAATCTGCCAACGACACCAAACAACGGATCTACAGGAAACGACTTTCAATCTACCAACGACATCATACAACGGAACTACAGGAAACGACTTTCAATCTGCCAACGACATCATGCAACGGAACTACAGGAAACGGCTTTCAATCTGCCAACGACACCAAACAACGGAACTACAGGAAACGACTTTCAATCAGCAAACGACATCATACAACGGAACTACAGGAACGGGTTTCAATCTGCCAACGACACCAAACAACGGGACTACAGGGAACGAGTTTTAATCTGCCAACGACACCAAACAACGGGACTACAGGAAACGACTTTCAATCAGCAAACGACATCATACAACGGAACTACAGGAACGGGTTTCAATCTGCCAACGACACCAAACAACGGGACTACAGGAAAAGAGTTTTAATCAGCAAACGACATCACACAACGGGACTAAAGTGTATGACATTCAATAATATCAAAGACAGAAGAATACCCGATATACGTTGTAAGTATTATACAGGGAACGAGTTTCAATCAGAAAACAACAATAAACAACGGGACTACAGGGAACGAGTTTCAATCTGCCAAATACATCAAACAACGGGACTACAGGGAACGAGATTTAATCGGCCAACGACATCACACAACGGGACTACAGGGAACGAGATTTAAACTATCAACGACATCAAACAACGGGACTACAGGGAACGAGATTTAATCGTCCAACGACATCAAACAACGGGACTACAAGGAACGAGATACAATCAGTCAACGACATCAAACAACGGGACTATAGGGAACGAGTTTGAATCAGCCAAAGACATCGAACAACAGGACAACAAGGGAACGAGTTTCCATCAGCTAACGACATCATACAACGGGACTACAGGGAAAGAGTTTCATTCAGCAAACGACATCAAACAACTTGACTACAAGGAACGAGTTTCAATCTGCCAACGACACCAAACAACGGAACTACAGGAAACGAGTTTCAATCTGCCAACGACATCATACAACGGGACTACAGGGAACGAGTTTCAATCAGCCAACGACATAATACAACGGGACAACAGGAAACGAGTTTTAATCAGCCAACGACATCATACAACGGGACTACAGGGAACGAGTTTTAATCTGCCAACGACATCACACAACTGTGAACGAGTTTTAATCAGCCAACGACATCATACAACGGAACTACAGGGAACGAGTTTCAATCAGCCAACGACATCATACAACGGGACTACAGGGAACGAGTTTCAATCAACCAACGACATCATACAACGGGACTACAGGAAACGAGTTTTAATCAGCCAACGACATCATACAACGGGACTACAGGAAACGAGTTT